GTAGCAGTAGCACCAGTAGCAGCAGTGGCAGCAGTAGCAGCAGTAGCAGCAGTAGTAGCAGTAGCGGTAGCAGCAGCAGCAGCAGCAGCAGAGTCAAAACCGTAGTACTAGGTGAACGATGCATAACGACGGCTCTCCTTGATGTTCCCTGGCATTTCACGAAGCATTAGCTGGACCTAGTGCAGGAGGCGCTGCATGCAGAATTCAGGAGTAGCAAAGCGGTTCCCATGTAGTGTTTGCAAAGAAGCATGCCTGAGTTAGTTAAGTCGAACGACTGATCACAGTATGACTATGACTATCTGATGTGAAGGACTCAACCGACGTGCAGTACAGTCGCCTGTTGATCGCACAGTCTCAATCTGGTCTCACATGGGATCGTTGAGCCTGCTGTGAGGAACGGGACGACCAAAACTAACTGACTGCTGTCACAGGCACGAAGAGGCAAGCAGAAACTCGCTGCTCGTACACAGCCATGTTGAACCGGAATACGGCGTTCCTGTGGCGGAGAAAAGCATTCTGGCCACTGCTGGTCCGGCAACGAGACATCCTTCTTGAATGTGGGTTGGTAATGTTGGTTTTAGCACTCCAAGGCGAAACCAATTTAATACTGTATCCCGACCCGGCGAGTGGACTGAAGCTTCTGCCCGCGAATCTCTTGGCTCCGAGTGGCTCGGGCTGAAAGTATGGGAAGAAGGTGATGTAGCCCAAGCGCTCCTCAACCCATAGAGCTTGTCACTGGAACATGGCAATCACGACTCTCGACCAGTCTGGCAACAGGACGCGCACAGAGGGCTCGGCTGCACAATGCTGCCAACTTCGCGATTCCGATGTCCTGCAGTCGCACTACATCTTCCTTCTTTTCGAATCGGACCCTGAAGACTTTCGCGTTGTACTTGTCGATGACCCTGCCAAGTCCGGCTTGTTCAGCCACTGGTTATTATGTACTGTGATATACAGTAATATTGAAATATACTATAACATGTTTGCGTGTGTTGTAAGAGACTACAGTCAAGCGAACCAATCAAGCTTCGGCTGCAACATCGCTGACTCTACTAGAGACTCGTCGCAGCAGGGAGTGCCGGTGGTCGTGAGGTCGGGGGAAGTGATGATGGGAAAGTCGCTAAAGTTGTAGGTTTGGGATGGACCAACAGAACAAGCAAACTTGTCTCGCACAGTGCTGTCGTATGAATGTGTCTGCAAGACGTACCTTACCGCAAATGTGCCAATATCATCGAGCTTTCCCGCTCCCACCAGCGCCTTGGCCAGAACATCACCAAGGCCTCCTCACGATCCTCGTCCTTACGGAAGAAGCCGACCATCTGCCGAATGTGCAGAGAGCCTTTGGTTCCGGGAGTTCGGGAGCGAGCCATAATGTCGGGGCCTTCATAACTAGAATAACATTTCCGGGCTCCTTTATACAACAAAGGTACCTCCAAGGAATAATGTGAGCCATTATTAAGTCTTCTATACTGCGAGGCTTCGAGAGTGCGGTCAGACAGTGCAGAGGCCAACACAGAAAGCGAGGGCGAGTCGAAAAAAGGGGCCTAGCCTCTTGAGACGTTTTAAGGCAGACTGCCATCGGCCCAGTCATTCACCGATAGTCTGAACTGACTGAACATGTTCCATTGGTCATTGGTCGGCCGTAGAAAACGGACTCGGGGACTTTTGCTCCCCCGAGCCTCACCACATCCAAGGAGCTTAAGAAAATCTGATGCGAGATGATCTTCAACACCTTCAGCTGGTCTTCCGGGCGGCAGGGCGAGTCATAGATGGCCATCATGACCGACTGCACAGGGCTTGTGATACCAGCACACTTTGCAAGCCTACTGCGTGCGGAAGGATTCCAGCTAACAGCTTGCAAGAACCGTCTCTGAACTCTTGGCGGCAAAAACTGCTCGAAGCCTGAAACACTGCCACTTGAATACTATTTGTTAGCATTCCGGACTAAATAAGCAAATAGCATAATATGAATATCAGAATATACCCAGAGCTCCTTGTCTAATTCTGGCGGCTATATTCCTCGCCTCCCAGAGAGTGTCGCTCAGCGGCTTGGAACCTTGCTTCGGATGGTAGCCTGAGTCCAGCGCGGGGTTGGGAACAGGAGAAGAGCTGCACAGTGCCATGCGAAAAAAAATATTATGAGAGTCAGTAGTCTATCATAGCCCACTGTGGTTTGTTATATCATAGCAATAGTATCTTCTATATCGTTCCCTTCATTCTGCTTCTCCTGAACTGCTAGTAACCTAGTATGTGACGGCACCGGCGCACAGGTGCGCAATGGGGACCAGGTGCCTGTAACAGCAAGGGCCTGCTAACTTCATCGCTGGTGTCACAAGGGGCAGTGTGAACATGCTGAGATCTACCAAGCAAACTTGGGACGCGAAAATGTCCTTCATCCCTGGGTTAGCGCAAAGGGTGCATGCCGGAACATGCAGGCCAAAGTCCAGGGACGCAAAGGATGACGCGCGTCGGTTTGCAGGACTTCCGGGCTAGCCATTTTGATGAGTGGCTTGTGGCATAGTCGCACTCGAACTCGCCAAACTCCGGCATGGCCCACTCCGTCAAGAGTTTCACCTGCGTTGGTGTACCGTTGCACATGCCAAACTGAAACGTACCAGTACTTGGTCCAAGTCACGGAAAGGTGGAGAGCTCGGCCCTGGTAGAGCTCCTTGCATCAGGTGCCTACTTACCCGGCTCACCTACTCGGCGCCGCATACGAAGCCTGTCAAACCAAAACAGGCTACAGCTCCCAGGCCAATCCAAGCATCGTTTCGGAGCTGAGAGCGGTTTCCACGCTGTGAGACATCACCACGGTTGTGTCGTCGGTTTACCACCTTGGAAGACGTCATGGGACGCTTTGCACGCGTGCGTGCACTTATCAGGTGAATGCACACATTCCGGATATGTAGATAGCAAAGGCCGGCTGTCGCTTGTTTGAGATGACTAGTTGCTGGCTACGAACAGAGCAAGTATGTCAGACAGCTGTTGCCGCACGGAGACCCAATGCAGCTCAGCTATGCTACCCCAGAAGCAGCGGTGCTGTTCATGAACTTTCGGAGTCCAGCATCCATTCATGCAGTCCACACGATTGAAACCACCATCTATGCATGGCGCGATCGGTGTTGAAAACAGAGATCAGCTCAGCTCAAGCCAGTCAGCTGAGCGGCAAGTAGAGAGTCCAGGGCCCTTTCTCGGGGCCCTAGACCCGAAACATCCCCAAACCCCAGACTTCAATGGAACCCGTAACGGAATCCGTAGAGGTAACCCTTGTAGGAACACTGTTCTAGAACTCATTAGAACCTTACCTTACAGGCCCTTATAGTACCCTTTAGGGGCGCTATTTCGGGTTGGGGTCAAAGAAAGAGCTCTGTGACTTCGGCCGAACCACCGACTCCCATCGATCCAGCAAGAGCAGCTGCTGAGCCACGGCGAAGTCAGTGCCTAGGCAAAGTACAATACGTTTTCGTATACCGTATACCATAATAATTGCATTCTATGGTAGATTATGTTCTCTACTATAATAGTGCTTAGTACAGTACATTATGTTATCTTGTGTATATTATGTTATCGAGTATAAGACATGATAGTACATCATAGTATGATAAAGGATTCCAGAGGTAGACCGACTGTAAGCTGTCTCAAAGCAGCTATCAGCTGAAAACCAAAGCTGCTTCACAGGTGCTGTTTTCCAGCTTGAGCTTGTATCGACCCGTGGGATTCTGCGGGTTGAAGAGTAGGAAGCTCTCCATCCTCCACTGAGTCTCCAATAGATCTTCGACCCGCGGGAAGAGCGACATCGCCAGGAATGTGGAGCAACCGTCGCGCTTGAGGCTCGGGATCAGCCGGAAGAGTATTTCATTGCTGGCCTCTGGGCAGGCCTGGGCCAACAGGTAGAGGATCATCGATTCATGGCTCTATTTGTTGATCTAAGCCCCAAATCCCTCTCCCGGCCTGGACCATGTACTCCAAGTACGGGACCTCCATGTTGAAGTCGGATGCTAAAGCCGTCAAGAAGGTCTCTTGCTCCGCATGCATTCCGGAGATCGCTTTCCTCAGCACTACTGCAGGACATTTATAGTATCTTCTAGTATATGATAGCACTTTAGAGTGCTGCAGTGTGTGATAATACATTAAAGTACAGTATCCTGAATCCTATTCACTGTTGCATCGAGAATGCAAGATGCACAATGCACCCGCAGTTTCTTCTGTCACAAGTGTCAAAAGTCGTTTTCTCTTGAGCCGATCTATCATATCCCTCGTTTGTCCACACATCTGTCTGCTAGTTCTGATGCCAAACATCCCAGTGCTTGCTCACACACTCTAGGGCGGACCGAACGAGGGTGATTCGAATGCCAAGCATTTAGCGGAGAAGGCATCGTATTTTCTCAGCTTGTTCGGGGACTGCGACAAAGTCCTCCAAGTTCCCCATTCCCTTTTCAATTTCGTCTCTTGCGTGCACCAGCATATACTGTGCTATCCCTCTCTCTCTGCCGTGCAATCCTCGATGCACCATCCATAATGTGACAACAATGTACTGTGATTAACTACAATGTACTATGAGATACTGCAATACACCCGAGTTGCATATACGAAAATCTACCATACTCTAATCCACAAATACTTAAAAGTGCTATAAGCATGCCTCTGAGCATCCAGTTTGCAAGCAACGGTCGCAGCTTTCGCTTGTGCGGCTCGAAGCGCATCATGGCCAGGTGGCCTGGGGTGCAGACAATGCTTGTAGCATGCTACTATAGCACATCATGTTCTAGGATTGTCGGCTATAGCCTTTTCTATATAGCCCCTTATACTCTGTTCTAGTATACGATACGGTCGTCTAGTTAAGTATAGTACAGTCTGTCACAGATTTAAAAGGTTTTAAGGCTTTCTGACTGCCTAGACTCAGCCCTGTTCCGGGGCTGAGCTTGCTATTGATCTTTCAACTGGGTCTCGAGGCCATGTCAATTTCCGAGTTTGCTATCAGTAGCAGAAGCAGGATCGCTACAACCAGCACTGGCCAAACCACCTTCTTGCACCTCCAAACATTTACAACTGCATCCAAACAAGAAATGCCGCATCAAGCACCACAGGTACTGCCCGGGTAAAGCCATAAAGCTCCAAGGAACTGTTCAGAAAGCCGATGAAATCATCATCCGCGACGTTCGACCAGGCCGCGGCAATAGCAGACTCCACGTTGAAAGTGAAGGTGAGGATGCCTTCACGCCGCACCTGCGCTTCGGATACTCGATGTAAGAAACACAGCTTCATGTCGGCTTGATTGCTTCGATTAAGTCCATGTCCGAGTAGAACTGCACTGACACACGAACACTGGCAGACTGGCAGGAGCTGGGCCACACCTTGTACTGCCCGATGCTGTCTCCTTAGGAACTCGATATTTACATGAGATGCGGGGAAGATTCAACCCCCAGCGTAGTCATCAGCTGCAGATTCGTCGTAAAGGCACAGAGGCAACGACAGGCAAAGAACAAAGCGGCTAGCAAAAGTCGCAGGTGTTTGTCCCAAGCAGGCTCGCTGTTTTAAAGTCGAGAAGCGGACAGGGTGGTGATAGGGTGGGTGGGAATGATTGATGTTGACGAACGCCTTGTTGTGCTCCAAGTTGAAGCGCTCGGCAGTCTCATAAAGCATCCTGGGCGCACCGGGAAACGAAAGGACTCTCAAGTCAGCGACGATGCCTTGCATAACTCCAAATCTCCCACCCACCAGCCTGCATAAGCTTCGGTCGTAAGGAATTCCGAGGTCAAGGATGTACTTGCCCCCTGGGTTGGTGAAGGAGAAAACCTGCACCGGCAGACAGGGAGAATTATGCCAATTGCTTCTCAGGATATGGGGCGCAGCCTCGCCAGCGGCAAAACATATGGATCATGTGGAGCTTGACATTTTCTGCCGCTGTTTATTCTCTCAGGGATCTCGCACCTCGGGATCCTATTACAGGGGCTTAGAGCTCAGTGGACTTCCCTTGCAGCTTCTCTGCCCCGGGCGTTGCTATCATTCATGTCGCGTCATTTTTTCCAAACTTACAATGCCTGATCAGGGTACCCTGAAGGGCCTGTAAGGAGTTCAAAATTCGAAGGGCACTCCGCCGGCTGGGCACTCTGCCGGCTGACCCCTCGGACCTTCGTGTGCGTTTCCGTACTCTTGGTCTTCTCGTCCCCTGACTTGCATCCTGCACAAGGGATCATGCTTTCCCCTACTGGGCAGGAAGACTGCCTGGAATCCCATCGTCATGGCAACTGCACCGTTCACTTGCATCCGCTGCCTAAGAGCAGGATCTCGTTCCCAATAAGTGCCCTCCAGACCGAACCCAAGCCCAGGCCCCTTCCATACTGGTTTAGGGTTTAGAGGAACAAATCACACTCTATGCTTGCAGGGTGATCTCAAAAAGGAATTCCGACTTAAAACACGAGCTCCTTCGATGTCAAGGCGGGACATGCTGGACTCTTTCCGGCAGAGCAGTCTAAGGATGCTTCGCCTGGGCTTCAAAGGTTGAGGAGTTGGGATTATTATATTGGTTACCATGAGCGGCTATTATGAGGGATGCTAAAATCCTACTATGATGGTTACTATACGGCATCTGGGCCCACTGATTTCTGCAATCTGCTCACAGAGAAGTCAGAAGATATGCCTCCCGACGCTTTCTTTAAGCAATTAAGCTCCATCGCAGCCCCTGCTTCATTGCAGTCCCTTCTTTCTGAAAAAACCGGCTGGGTGTTGAGGACATGTTGATCTAGCAGGGAGCGCTGCTGCTAGGTTGTCTGTGCTAAAAGACAATGAAAACCCTGCAAACTTTATGCACCACAACATGCCACAACCCACCTTACAAATCACAAAACTCACCGGTAAGTCTACTGCCACTTCAATGTCAAAACAACAAGCCATTGAACCAATCGTTGTGCATGCAAGTTGTGGTGAGGCAACTTCAAGCCATACACACAAGCCGTTGAAGCAGTGAGCCATTCAACGCGTATACATGAAACCTATCGAGCTAAGCCTGTGACCTGTGAAGGGCATGGAGCCCAAACAAGGGAGCAGTAGGGCGTAAGCATCAGCATCAGCATCAACAACGTCATTGCCACCTCTCATCCTCATGGACTTCAGCAGAAGGAGCTGACATCATGCCTCATCGGTTCATTAGATCCGATACAGTAGCACCAGATTCCGCCCAAGCCCTAGAGAAAGACTAATTAGTTCAAAACGGTTGCAAGCACGGCCTCTGGCACATGTTGCCCGATAACCCGACATGCTCAGCCAGTTCCGGAATGAAAGCTTTCGAGCGTCAGCCCGTGGATGCCCAGTGGATTGTTTCGCAGATACAGCCGCGACAGCATCGGGTGACCCTCCAGCGAGTCCTTCCCAGACCCAAGGAAAGGTTCAGGCGTAACGAAGGCAAGTAGGATCAGGATCCCTGCCGCTAGGCCCACCGCCATGAGGCCAGGAGGCTTCTAGTAGCTTCTTAAAGTCACGTTAGTCTGCAGCCAATTGTGCTAAGAACGGGACAAGTGGAAATGCAAGAGCGAAAGAATTTCAGCGGCTTTTCTGACATGTATGGGCACTTGCGAAACGATGTGTGCCATGCACATGTCACGTCATATCATATTCTACCAGGTGATAGCATACCTGGTATACCTGCTATAAACTATAAACTAGCCCGTATAGTATATAATCGTATATTTTCGTATATTAGAGTATGTCCTAGCATACCATAGTAGATTCTAACATATGCTAGCAGGTTACAGTATACAGGAAAGGGGCGGTTACTAGCGACTCAAGAGCTCCCACGCCCAAAGCACGAAGGCAATGTTCATGCGTTAGAAGGGGCAAAGAAACCTGCTTGATGTCATGGTAGCAGTATCATACTCTAGCAGAGGAAAATAAGCTGAAAGAGACTATGGTACTGAACAATCTAAATATACTACCATATACGATCACATACCATTGGTATGCTATTGTACAGGCTTCAGTACAACTATCATCTACATAATATACTATAAGACGACACAACCTCAAGCCTTGAGAGAAGCAGACTCTGCATCTCCCACCTCGATGACCAGCGCGGCACGGGAGTCGATGCGATTTGTACAGATGCTCAGGCTCCTGGACGGTAAAGTTTTCCGATTTTTTCCCTCCTACATAGCTTGGACGAGCCCGCATTGCAGGAATTAGGGTGTAGGGCCTTTGGAGTTTAGGAGTCTACGATTTGGGCTCAGGATTCGGGCTTCGTCGCGTTTTTTTTTCGGACATGCCAGCCAATAGTGAGGGGGTCCAGGGGGGTCCTCACTTTCTGGGAGGACTGCGGAAGCAACTCAGGATTGCTGACAGCGTCATCTGAAAGTGGGGTCCGGGTTGCTCTTAGGGCTGCAAGCCCAAAGAATGCACGGAAGCCAGGCCAAGCCTCAAAGCAGAGTTGAAGGCCAGCTTCTCGATCAGCTCTGAGATTGGTGTGTCTTCACCCACCTAGCTCAAAATCCCATGCTTCAATCGAGCCCTATGACCTGCTCTTAAATAAGAGCAGCTCGGACCAGATCGGCTCAGTGCGGGACTATGTAGGCCGCAGTATTGTCTAAAAGCAAGTGCATCAGGCAGGTGTTCTCAGCAATGTAATCGCCGATGACTTGAAAGTCCTCCAGGCTGGATGCATGGAGTGTGAAGCTCCATGCAAAAAGGACTGCGGGTCCTTCTTGCTGAAAACATTCCAGCTGAGGTCCAGCTTTCTGTTACTTCTGCTGCCTGAGACGCCCCAGGACATCACGCAGTACAACTGAGGAAAGCCAAAAAATCGAAACGCACCTTGTCGACCGCGAAGACAAATCGAACTCCCGCTGATACAAGATCTCTACGTGCATCAAGTATTGTCGGTGCTTCCTGGGTTCTTCTCCGTGTGCTAAGCGCAGCAGCCCTGCGTGCTGCGTCTGCTAGTGCCTTTTCGACAGGCGAAGAAGAAGTAACGTGAGAAAGCTGCCCTTTTGCAAACCTACTCTGACTCTCAGCAAACTTTCGGGGAAGCTCCTAAAGCGACTGAGGTGTCCTCGAAGTAGGTTCCTGTCTGCATCCAAAACTGTCGGGTGATTTGAAAAACGACTGCAGGGCTCGAGCCTTTCTTACATCTCGAGAATCGCATGGCCTAAGTTTTCAATTGGTGCGAGGCCCCTAAACCCTAAACGGCCCTAAACCCTGAACCGATATACACCGGCTGAGGATGTACTCAGGCCGCAGCTCAGAAGATGCCTTAGGCAGTCTTCTGTCAGGCATGTGCCGCCCAGTCCAGAGCGAGATAAACCAATAAACCTCAGGTGTTGGGCTTCGACTCTCAAATCAGGGCTTAGGGTCTAGCGTTTAGGGCAGCACTGACGATTTTGAAGTGAAGACACAAAGCACACTTTGCCTGACTCACTGCGGCCTGCACATGCGCGGAGACTGAATCTGAACCAAACGAGGGGCCAACGTTGTTGCGATCTAAGGATCCTGCTGCAAATTCCGGTGTACCCCGAGGGATTCGCAGAGTTTGAGTTGAAGATGCCTCAGGGATCAAAATCACAGCAACGACGAACATGTCCCAATGTGTAATCCGTGCTTGCGCAGCTCTCGCAAAAGTGAAGCAGGAACCCTGATGACGTTGCACAGCAGTTTCGCAGCAGCACGCAGAACAAAGTAGCACATGTACAGGCTATAATACTATAATGTTCTACGGTATACTGCAGTCTGCAATCATATGCTATAGCAGGCTACCCGATGCCCACACCTTGAACCTGTCGTTTTGGTGCGCATCTTCGACTCTCCGACGGCACGGCGTCGACTGAGGCAGCCACGTTCCGACCTGTACACCGCTGAGGTTCAGCTCCCTGAAGCAGGGTGAATATAAATACAGAAAAAAATATATATATATATATCTATCTATCTATCTATCTATCTATATATATTTATTTATTTATATTTGTTTATATTTATGTTTATTTCTATAGTTGTTTATATATTTAGATATATTCAAGATGATCAAACTGCGTTCCATGTATTCCAGCTTGCTGCGAAGATCGCAAGCACCGTGCCTCAGGTTGCGTGCGGCAAACGTCAGCTGCCGAAGAACCTCCAAGCTCTGCCATCCGGCGCCCTGCAAGGCAAACTGGGATCTCCAGCACGTTCTCTTCGCTCTATGATATTCTATGATATATTACAGCATTAATATACCGTCATATACTTCAAAAGTATAAAGCTTACTATGATTTTCTGAACTATACTATAATAGAGGTTCCAGAGGGCTGCACTGGAAGCTCTCCCCTCGGAAGCCGGGAAATCGCAGCACGGCTTTGACATAAGTTACGTACCCAGAGAGCCCAATACTCCTTAAATACACCCTAAATTATAGGGGCCTTAATATTATGATTTAAGGTATATTCCTTAATTAAGGGGGTATTGGGCTCTCTGGGTAGTAAGGTGCTGCAATTCATTCCTCTGCCTTGCATTGCTTGAGGTTGAGCGAGCACAAGCCCTCAGCTAAGCGTGGTACCTGGCAGACAGCAACAGAATCTTTATAGTATATTGTAGTATACCGATCATCGTGTTAGATACAATGGTATAGTTTCGTAATATCTTATAGAACTGCGCCAAATGGTCGCGAGCACGCAGGACAGGCGACTGAAGGTAAGGCTTATCCATGTAAAAGGCTGCAGGACATTCTGTGAAAGAACGTCAATGCCCGGCAGCCTTCAAGAATTGGCGCAGGAAAGGCCTTGGCGCAAAATGCTTGGGAAGGCTTGATGCCATCTCCGACACATCTCTGAGTCTCGGACTGGATTAATGCGAAGTCCATTATGCTCAACAGTACTGGCACGCATCATGTGTCTTGAGCGGACTGTATGTCGCGACATGTCAACATCGTATGAAACATGTCTTGTCCAAGTCGTCGGCACGAGGCTCGCATCGGTGAGGCCGGAATTCCTGGCGATTTTGCTACGCAATTTTCAGATGACACAGCACAGATTAACATCCTTTGACTAATTAGTTGCATTAGTTCTTTCAATTCGTCGTATTATTATTAGCATTACTACTATCAGGAATTATGAACAGCAAAGGTCGATGCCACTGCCGTCGTCGTCTAGCTGGTACAGTAGCAGCGGGAGTCTGTCTGCTAGTGGTAGTCTGGCAGTAGCGCGAGGTAAGTGTAGCGGGTAGCAATGGTCACAGTCGTGGCCAAAGAAAGCAGCAGCGACTCGGATGCATCTCAGCACAAGGATTCAAGCGAAAATACTGAAAGATACTCGGCGTCGGCAATGAAAGCTTTGTCGTCACCAAGGTCACCGTTATTACTGCCATCTGAGGCTACAGGTCGTGGCGAGGAGCTGCTTGAGGCAGACTTCATCGACCTTCTGCCTCTCTGGGAGCATGCCTGAAGAACGAAGCGAGTGCTCTCGTTTTCCCGCTTGAGGTGCTTTCACATGATTTATCAAGTGTGACTCCGCAGCGGGAGCTGTATCGCAGGGAAACTGTGCACACTGTGCTTAGGGAGGTTGGGTACATGCTCGGGGTCCACTGCAAAGCACACCCCTGCAATCCGCCTGCCGCCATCTGCAAGCCCCAACAATACCCTCCAAGTCTTACTCTCGGTCCCGAGAGAAAGGAAAGACGTCAGCAACACTATACATCAAGCATTCACATCTTACCAGGAAGCTTTCCTCCTTCCTTTCATGCCCTGCCATGATGCAAGTCCTGCCTGTCACGGAAAGAAGGTCGTGATCCGTCAGACCACGATGCGGAGCGGATAGCTTCGAGGAAAAGCCTGCACTGCAAGACGCTGATGCTATGGAATTGCCAGCGCGGTGCTTGTTTCCGTCATTGCGATTCGGAGACTCCCCGGTCCGACATGAAACGACTGGCCGCATCTGTAGCACCAGTTGAGGCCACCAAGCAGCCAGTGTTGAAATCCAGGGTGTCTGGAACTGTGGCTCGAAGGTCGCACTCCTCGTGCTCGCAAGATACAGGCTTTGAGAACACAGGCTGCTTACATGTTTATATATATATATATGTGTGTGTGTAACATGTGTATGTACTCTGCAGGTGTTGCTCCTGCAAGTACTTCCGCGAACAAGCCGACGGCTTTTTCGGCGCGACACCTCACGAGGCAGGTCGCGTGAGTCATTACAGCACAGGCCCACGATGATCTGCAGCAACTGCAAATTATCTTCAAGATTCGCAGGCCTGCGGAGTTAACCTGAACATGACAGTGCGCCAAAAGCATGAAGTCTACTAATGCCTCGACACGAACGTAGTTGTCGAACAACCATCTGACGGACGGGCTGAGGGAGGCACAAAGCTGCGGGGTGGCAAGCCACTGCGCCAGGTCAGCATTGTCAAGCCTTCAACACGAAGAGTCTGGCTGAAATGAGGGTCTGCAGTTTGAGGGCTCGCGCCGGGTCTTTGTGGGTGTTCTCATTTGTCGCTGTTCTGCGTCCAGCACGACGAGCAGATCGACGACGGCGACCACCTCCCCCTCGCTATACCTACTACATTTCTCTCGCATTCACATTCCTAGAATGGCGGGAGATTTTTGCAGATCCTGAATCATGCGCTGGTCTGGACGGCGTGCTGAATCAAACTTCTACAATGCAGGCCGCGGCTGGTCGCTAGATGCAATGCTGCCTGGGATTATTTCCCAGGACCGATTGACGAGGCTCTCAGTTGCACAAGCAGAGACGCCATCCAACGACATCGACTCATAGCCCGAAGTCTGAAACCCAGTGGGCGTAAACCCACGACCCTCAGCCCCTTGATGCCACAAGCCCTCAACATATGATGTATGTATGAACATGAACGTGTGTGTCTGTCAGTGTCTGTCTGTCTCTGTCTCTTCAAAGCCCCTCTCGGCATCCTCGGCTTCCCGTCGGGGGGGCCGCCCGGCTGCAAGAAGCCACTCTCTGTCCTTCGGAAGAGGATCCGCGGAGCTCCAAGGGCCAAAGCAGCTTGATGTCGGCTTAACCTACCAGAACCTGCCTGATTGGTAGGGCCCCTATAAATGCCATATTGGGGTTCAGAATAGGAACCTACTAGAAAGAAAGCTCTGGTAGTTTTAAGGTAAAGTGCTACTTCCAACAACCATGGAGCCAAGAATTGCAAGACTCTAAGACACAGTCAGAGAAGGTTGGCTTGCTGCAGTCTCGCCAAAATGCTCCCGGAGTGCTCAAACTCAATCCCATCATGGCGGATCCCTGGCAGTTCAAACGCACAACCTACACGAATCTGCAGGCGTCGTGACCTTCGCCAGGATCGTGAGACGGTGGCACTTTGTGGCCGCGAAGGCCGTGATGCAAAAGATCCCGCACTTCCAGGCCTCACAGATGACAAATGTTGCTCTCACTCCCAGAACCAGCACATCAGCGATCGGTGTAAGTTTGCCACTTATTGCAACACGTAAGATACTGAGCGGGCAAGGAGACGGTTCTCAGGAATAGGCTACGCTGCGCTTGCAAACAAGGGCGGTGTGAAGACCACAAAGAAAGCAGCAGAGTGCTCTATGCAAAGAGACAAGACATATTATCAACACTCTACATACACCAAAGGAGACAGTTGCTGATTTCACTCGTGGTTTCTGCTCTTTCAAGCTCTCTGAAGATCCGTGCACAAGCCCCTAAAGCCAAAAAACAACAAAGAGTCGTTCAAAAATACTGGCGAAGATTGTCAGTGTGATCTGCACAAACGGTCTAATCCAAAAGCATCAAAATCTCCCCTCATGATGATGCTGGTGCTGCTGCTGCCATGGTGAGGATGAGGGGAGGAGGTGGAGGAGGAGCACGAGGAAGAGGAGGACGAGGAGGGCGAAGCCCAGAAAATCTAACTTATAGCCAGCAGATGCCAGCAGGTTGCTGGCCCGCGGTGCGGGCGGGTGGAAGAACGCATTGCCGACAACGTGCCGTCTTTGCCGCGCGTTTCCAGTGTCTTCGCTGAGCTGCAGAAGGCCTCATCCCACAATATGCGTCCAATCTTCTGCATTGTCCAGCTCGTGCTCTCAGCCCAGCTGAAGAGCAGCAGTGGGCTTTGTGGGCGGTCTTCTTGTTGTGCCAGCATACATACCTTGTTTGAGCTGCCTTTGCGCTGTTCTTGGGCTGCACCTGGGGAGATAGAAGTCAAGCTCCACCAAGGCGTGACTAGCGACACATCTCGACGTGTTGCTCTTGCCTTGGCGCCGACACTGCGATGTCTCACCGCACGCGTTTCCACACAGATGGAACGAAGAGCTCGTGTCCCGGATCCCGGACGTTTTGCTCATCCAGGATCGTTCCTTCAACCCTCTGTTACATTATATTATATCATATCATTCCATTAATAGATTGCATTATACTCTAGTACAAAAACGGGACACTCCAGCCTTCACCAAGGCAGGAGTTCGACAAGGATTCCGGTCAACGGCGGCAACGGCATCTCACATCATCTCGTGGTCAAGCCCTCGCAACGTCTAAGCGTCACCTTCGTATGCCCACCCGTGGCGGTGTCTCATCGCGGCCTTGCTTTGCGAGTCGCGGTCTGAGGCCGGCACGATCCGGCACGGTTGAAAAAAGCTTGGCTGATAAATGCAACACCCTCACTATAACATCATACGCCAAACCCTGAACCCTTAACCCTAAATCCTTACTGTAACATAGTGCTCTCAGAGCCCTCAACCCTCTTTTCCTAAGCCCTAAATAGTGTAACTTTCTTCTCCGGCCTTCCGGCAGAGCGGTTCGCAGATCGAGGCCGGGACGAGCCGGCACTCGTCGGCCTGGGGCCCCACCAACCAACAACAACAATCACTGCAATATATAGTAGTTTACACTAATATATGTATATATATAGATAGATAGATAGATAGATAGATAGATAGATAGATAGATAGATATATAGAGTGAGACAGAGTAAGATAACAATAATAGAAATGGAAGCAATAATAACAGGAATAGTGATGTATGGTAAAAATAACAACAATAAAAACAACAATGATAATGATGGCAGTAGTAATCAAGATAATAATAACATGGTAAGAACAATGACAATAACAATAATAGCAATAACAACAATAGTAGCAATAAATATGTCAACAATAATACTAACGACCATAAAAATACAAACAACAACACAAACAAAACTAACAGAACCCAGAAAAGGGTTTCGGCACTCACACTGGGACCGCCCAGCGAGGATTGCGCATACACATTCTTCTGAGTGAAACACTGGCCTAGCCAGGGACCTTCTTGATTGGCAAAGCATACTTTACTAGTGTCACGTGTCGAAAGTCCTAGTTATCCGAGTTAGTCAGCAGATGCGGGGAAGGAAAGACACACTCTGAAACCAAACCGACACACAAGGAATATGGAAAGGCGGGGCGGCCCGGGGATGAGTTCAGCGGACTGTATATCGTTGGCGTGAGGAAAACATGTCAGTCATGTGAGATCAGCTTGTTCACAGAAGAGGTATGAACTAGGAGGGGTTGTTGTTGCCTCGCGCATGGCCAGGACGAGGCTCGCATAGCAGGGTGATACCGAAGAAAACTGCAAGCACGACTACAGTCAACACATCCTAGGGTTCCTGTCGCGTTTAGTGTTCGAAGAACAGCTGACATCATCATTTCGCAGAGCACTCGACATCAACAGGAGCAAGAAGATACTAAAACATGTCATACTGACATCGCAACAACATCATCGGCCTTAGAGTGTGAAAACTCCTATAAGGTCTACGACAAAAGTTCTTTAGGCCCGGGCCTGCTGCTCATGGATACCTGGAGAATGTCCTTCCGCTCCTCGGTTCTCCCGCTCACGAGAAGCTGCACTGACGGGACCAAAACGGCTGGCAGCACGCGGCTCAACAAGAGGACCGCGATGCAACATGACAGGACGTCGTGGCATACTATTGTACATCATGGAATATCAGACGAAATTACTAGCATATTATGGTATATTGAAATGTCGGATTCTAGTATGTCATAGTGTATATCCTACAGTAAACGCCTCAGCGGTTTAGGGTTTAGGCCAGCCAGGTGGCACAAAGGACCGGCTTCGGTGTTTCCAGGCACGGCAGAGAGCGTGCGATGGACGGATCCAAAGGACTCCTCAAGCTCCAGCTAGTTGCATCTATCCGTAGCAGCCCTCGCAGCAGCAGGAGAGTAGTACAAGGTAGCAGTCGTCGTAGTCGCCGTCGTCGTCGTCGTAGAAGTAAGAGTAGGAGGGACAGTACAAGTCAATTATTGGTTCGTGGTGGCTGGCCCTGCAGTAGAAAGCCTCCTGCCAGCCCCGACAGGTATAATTCTAATAAGGAGCCCTAGGAGCTAGAATTACTAACTTATTCAAGCATTCAAGCCATTTCAGGGCCCTATACAGTAGCAGGTGTCCGCACTCGTGGAAACGCGGCGTTCTAGCATCCCTCTCCGTCTGACACCACCAGCGCTGGCAGGCCGCGAAGCCATGTCCCTGCAAAGGAAGTAGCATGGTAGCTCAGTGGCATCACAAGGCACAAGACGTCGTTACTCTCCCTCATAGACAATTGGGTAGGCCGTCCACGCCTCAGCATCGCACCTGGGAGCTGGCGGTGCTGAGCGCCTTAGCGCCCATGGAAACCTGCCCTGTTCGAGTAGATGCTGTCCTGCACGTGCATCCCCCCCCCCCCCGCCCTCGAGAGCTCTGCGACTCTGACCACTTTCCTTCTCAAGTGCTCGTCTAACGAGTTGCAGCATCCAAGTCGCTCTGG